AAATATTGAAAAGTAATAATGTAAAAAAAAAAAATATATAACACCTGAAAACTTAATTTTATATAATACAAATCCATTTTACATACATTTATTTAAAACCAACCAAACCAAACTCACTGTCCTTGAGTCAGGTCTAACTCATATTAACCCTTTCTTGGGTTTCTGAGGTGGTATCATTATGGAAATAGATTACAAACCTTCCTTCCCAGGACTGCCTGGTGGGTTTGAACTGCCAGCCTTCTGGTTAGCAGTCAAATGTCTTATGCACTATGCCACCAGAGCTCCCTACATTTATTTAATTAAATGAAAAAATAAATAAATAAATAAATAAATAAATATTGCAAGAATCTGCAAAGATAAGTAGCTTTTCATGGTGTGGGAATAAATAATGGCTATTCCAAATAATAATGAAAAACAGTTAATTCAACTCCAATTATTCACTTATATTGTTTTAGAAAAAGTGAGTGGATTTAAAAAGTCTGCTAAAATAATCGCGTCTAATGCAGAAGAGTCCACAGAGAAGAAGAACACTGCTTCCTTTTATTGAAGCACATACGTACTCCAATTAAACTTAAAGGCACTGACCTGTTTTAGGATCTACAGAGAAGTAGGGTTGTCCTTGGAGGATACTGTAAACCACCCGAGCACTGTTTCCATAGGTAGGGTCATCCGCATCGGTAGCTGTCACCTGTAGAACAGAGGTACCTGTGCATTCAGGAAAACAAAATTTAGTGTCTGATACTTTTAGCATATGATTAATCTGTACACAGAGGATATGCTAAAATGGATGATGTCAACTAAATTTAATTCTTACATTTATTTATCAAGCATATACCTTGCTTACTTTCCCTGCCATTAACTATACTGAATAAGGTCTAGGATAATATGTTTAGTGTAAAATTATTCCATGGGGTCTTCTATGTGCTCATAAAATATTGACAGGTTTATTTAGACCCTCGTATAACCAAGGGTGTGTGAGAGTGATGCTCAAAAATGAATCGGTATTGGGTGCTGGGTGAAATCAAAGGTGTTGCTTAGGTGTATGTTGCATGCCTCATGATGATTCCAAAAACTAGAGATGGAATGGTTTGGGAACAGGTGCGAGAGTGGGAATGTTGACACTAAATCATCAATGGCATCAAAACATCCCATTCACAAACTGTATTTCTTATCTGGACTGTTAAATGAGTCCCTTAAATGGTCTCCTGGCTTCCAATCTCATTCTTTCAGTATCTACTACGTAAAACCAAAATCAAACTCACTGCCATTGAATGGAATCTGACTCAAAGTGATCCACATAGAGTTTCTGAGCCTGTAAATATTTACGGCAGTAGATCACCCCATCTTCCTTCCATGGATTGGCTGGTGAGTTTGAACCACTGACCTTCCAGTTAGCAGCCAAATGCCTTATCCACTATGCCAGCAGAGCTCCCTACCTATACTACTCACTGCTGTGAAGTCAGATCTGACTCATAGTGACTGCTCTTTGGGTTTCTGAGGCAATATCACTACAGAAGTAGATTGCCCAACCTTCTTTCAAGGAGTGACTGGTGGGTTTGAACTGCAAGCCTTCTGGTTAGCAGTCAAATGCCTTAGGCACTGTGCCACCAGAGCTCCTATCTTCTACATAGTACTCACATAATTGCCTATCTAAAATTTATAACATAAAATGCCAATAACAGTGGATTTTCAAAGATTTAAATGCATATTAATTAAACCACTTAATATACTATGTTTTGATGCACTAAAACGAGCTTGGGAGCTCCGGTAGCATAGTGGCTAAGGCACTTGACTGCTAACCAGAAAGCTGGAGGTTCAAACTCACCAGCTACTCCTCGGAAGGAAGGTTGGGCAATGTACTTCCATAGTGATACTGCCTCGAAAACCCAAGGAGGGGTCATTATGAGTCTGGTCCGACTCAACGGAACAGAACAACAACAACAAAATGAGCTTATCTGTTGTTGTTGTTATGTGCCATCGAGTCAGACTGACTCATAGTGACCCCTCCTTGGGTTTCCGAGGCAGTATCACTATGAAAGTAGATTGCCCCATCTTCCTTCTGAGGAGTGGCTGATGGGTTTGAACTAAGTGCCTTAAGCATTACTCTACCAGAGCTCAATTTCAATAATTAAACGTATTGATATAATATTGCTGATATTTCTAAATAGAAGCTAACCTGAATATAACATGACAACCAGCCATTCTACAAAACTCACTGCCATCAAGTTGGATCCGACTCATAGTGACCGCTCCTTGGATTTCCCAGGCAGTATCACTACAGAAGTAGATTGTTGAATCTTCCTATAACATGACAACCATCTGTTATGGATACACAATTTCACTGTAGAATTAGTGCATAAGAGCCCTCATCAATTCATGAGTTGCACTTGGTGAATGATCTAATGTGATATGTTCTCATCACTAGGTATCATCTAATTGTTTCTGATTCATAACAACTGTATGACAACAGAACAAAACACTGGCTGCTGCTGAGCCTTCCTCATAATCATTGCTATGCTAATATTATATCCTTGATATTTTGTTCTCCCTAACAAGAAAACAATTCTGTCTGCTATTTAGGGTTATGCACAACAAAATCATTTCCATTTTTATAGTCAAGTAATCTGGTATGTGGTTTTATATTAATTTTAGTACTTGAATAGGGAAGAATTGACAATTCTCACTTTCTAGATTTATTAATCCTTTCATTGATTTCATATGATACATTCATTAAGAGTTTAATATATGTTAAACCACACAGTATATATTTCTGTGTTAATATTCAGACACACCTTTGGGAAAAGCCTGTTCATTGTCTTCAAGGGATGCTAGAATTAACTACAAGTAATTAAATGGATAGAATTAGTATACACAGTTCCATTGGTTGTCCATAATAGCAGATTATAAATTATATGGGCCTTTTAATAACATGTTATGATGGCAGTCTTAAACTGCATTTGTACATTAAGAGTCTAAGCAGAGAGTTATGGGAGCTCTGGTAGCATAGTGGCTAAGGCACTTGACTGCTAACCAGACGGCTGGCGGTTCAAACCCACTAGCCACTCCTCGGAAGGAAGGTTGGGCAATCCTACTTCCGTAGTGATACTGCCTCGGAAACCCAAGGAGGGGTCGCTATGAGTCAGGTCTGACTCGACGGCACATAACAACAACAACAACAGAGGGGATGACTGTGTTATGTCTAAAAGAGTCTCTCATATTATGGAAAAATAAAACAGTAGCAACACCAAATGCCAGGGAAGGATACTAAAAAACAGTATTCCTCTTAAAGTGCTGATGGATATGTAAAAGGTTGTCATTTTCTCTTATTACCAGCAATGTAGTTTTGATCACTTATCCCTGAGAAATGAAACTTAGGCTTACAAAAATGCCTGCAGATGAACAGCCCAAAAATGCAATGCCCATCAATGGGAGCAGGATTAAAAATAATCATAAAAATCATATCCATACCATGTAATACAACTCTGTAATAAAAATGACTCATTGATACACAGAACAATGTGGATGAATCCTCAGTTAATTATACAAAGTGAAAAAAACAAAAAAAGAAAGAAAGAAAGTACCAGGTTCAAGATGGCAGAGTAGGCACATACACCATCCAGATGTTAAAAAAAAATAATTTAAAAGACAAATAAAATAAGAGAAACAGCTTCAGATGACAATCCTGGATCTCAGAGCTTCAAAAGAAAAGACAAAGAAGTACTGATGAGAGGAAGCGACTGGATGAAAATGGTGACAAGGAGCAGGAAACTGATAACCGGCTCCGTTTGCCCAGCAATGCACCAGCCCTCACATGGATGGTCAGGTGACCAGAGAGGTTTGCTTTCTCTCCTTACCTTGCACAATGTCCCACTGACCAGAAAGAAGGCCCTGCTAACCCTCAGCCCCCCAGTGGCTGGTCAAACTCCTCCCATTGCAGTACTGGACTGCTTTATATACAGAAAAATGAATATGAACATATATGTTGATATAATATTTCTGACATATCTAAATAAAAACTAATCTGAATATAACATGACAACCAGCTATCCTACAAAACTCACTGCCATTGAATCGGATCCGACCCACAGCGACTGCTCCTTGAGTTTCCGAGGCGGTATCACTACAGAAGTAGACTGTTTGGTGCAGATGGAACTTTTATGTTTCCATCTTCACCAAAGAGCAGAAGTCCCTTGCCTGCTGCCCAAGCAATCAGCATCACTTGCCCTGCCCTGCCCTGGTTGAAGTGCATGCTCTGGCTGAGCGAACACTGTATTCCTGCTCACCTGTTGGGTGGCTATCACTTTTGAAAGTTGCATGCTGCTTTTTTTTCTTCCTCCTTTTCTCTTTTTCACTTCTTAGTTCTTCACTCTTTTTCCCCTTGTTTTTCTCCTCTTTGTTTTTTTGGTTTTTGTCTCTCCTCTTCCTCCTATCTTTTTCTTTTCCCTGTTTCTTTCTGTCCATGCCTCTGCCTCCGAAGTCAGCAGCACCTGCACCCATGGTCCATGGTTGGCAGTGTGCGCTCTAGTGGAATGAGCTGCCAATCCTGCTGCAGCTGTGCATGCCAGCTAACACTTGCACCCGTTTTATGCTCTTTCTTCTTTTTATTCCCTCCCTTCCTCTCAGTCATTCCCTCTTACCCATATATTTTTTTTCCTTTTCTTTTTCTTCCATTTCCCTCCACCACTCATTTTTTTTTTTTTTTCTTTTCTTCCTGCTTTCATTTATTTGTGATCTCTGGGGGTGTAGAGCCTAAGACATTTGACTGCTAACCAGAAGGATGGTGGTTCAAACCCACCAGCCAATCTTCGGAAGGAAGATCGGGTAATCTACTTGCATAGTGATACCACCTCAGAAACCCAAGGAAGTTCTCTATAAGTCTAAATCGACTCCACGGCAGTGAGTTTGGTTGGTTTCTTGGATTTATTTATTTATTTATTTATTTATTTATTTTAATCTAGGGCAGTGAGCCCCTTGTCCTCACCATCTCCATGTTCAGTTGCGCTACATCTGATATTCCGTGTTTGGTAGGGCATGCTCCAATGGAGGAAGTGCTACACTTGCACTGCAACCATGGTTAGTGCTTGTCACATGTCCCACAACTGTGCGGCATTTCTTTGTTGTTTGCTTTTTTGTAACTTTTGTTGCTTTTCTTCCTTTTGTCTTTTATCTTGTACTTTTTCTTTCTTCTTAGGTCTCCTTCTTTCCCCTCTCCTGTTATTTTTCTTTTCCTTTACATCCCCTCCCCCACTTCCTTCTTTTATTTATATTTTTCCCCAGCAGCTAGGAGTCAGTGACCCTGTCCAAACATACCCACACACACTTGCTGCCCTATCCACCAGGTGAGTGCCATCCCTCACTCCTGAAGTACTAGACTATGACAGATGGCAGCCAAGACACCCAGCCTCCTGCCCTCAGGTGTTCTGCATGATTACTGATTAGAGACACATGCCCCACTTCGACCTGCTACCAAAAATCAACAAATTCATACAGTAACAGTGCAGTGTCTCAGAGACAACAGACACATTCAAACCACACACACAAAAACAGAACAAGATGCCTCAAACAAGTACAGGACAAGAAAATCTTCTGGAGGAAGAAATGTTAGTGCAATTATATGAAAAGGAATTCAAAATAATTATATCTATGTGCTTTCAATGAATTGAGAGACTGTTAAAGAAACCACAGAGAACATCAAGGAAAACACA